TGCGGTGTGCATCATCTGTGGCCAGTCCAGGGGCTGATAGAATACTTGCAGATGTCGAGCAACTCTCGCCCTGTCACGATGACGTTGATGCGAAATCGAAGTATTGACGATTTCAATGAGCAGGTTGTGAACATGCTTGATGAAGTCGAAAAACGAGTCGAGCAACTTGAGGTAATTATTTGAATACTTTTCGAAATTTTTGCACTACTAGAATTGTATTGATATGAATGGTTGGAAATAAGTCCGGTCAGTAGAAGCGTGATCTCTTCTTGTAATTATTTTGCGGGGTTCAGTGTGCGAGCGCAAATCGGCTTGGAGGGGGGGGGGGGTATTTTGCACTTTCGCCACTTCCCATCGTCAAGTCCAGCTATCTAAAAAGGACATCTGAAATCCTGTGAAGCCATGAAATGATACCAGTCAATGTACAAAGTGCTTGTAGTTTGTAGAAACTACTTGTCAACTCCTGTAAAGGATACCTGTCAATTCTTGTCAAGCATAATGATAACCAGAGCACGCCATCGTTGTGACGATCAGAACACGGAGGGGGTCGTATTTGACCTCGAGGGAGGGGGGGGGGGGTCGTAAGCGCGGGCCCTTTCTGAAGTGAGGGTGCAGCGATACCCAGATGTCGTTCAGCTTCAATGATGAAAGACTTATCCATGTGAAGAACCTCTGAAGAGACCCACACAAGACAGAAGCAACCTGCCAGCGCAGAAGTGGGGAACGGGCGATGACAGGAAATACGATGGCCGCCCACAACGACGTCATGAATTAATAAGCAAACCAAACAGATCAGAATTTTTCTGATCGCAGGAGCACATGTGCTTGCGCTTAGGAAGCCCTATCTAGAAGTTGCACCTTCCCAACACCTCTGCTTGAAAGCCCTATGCATGGCGCATTGCAGAGGTGATGCCAATCAAATGAACTATTTCCTGATATCCTTGGCGAAAACATGTGTTTTAGAAGCATACCAAAGCCTTCAAACGAACTGGAAGTGGTATGGCGTCGGATGGGTGGGTTTTTCGTGTCGTCCGGCAGGGGTTGCGTTGTGATCACAACGGGAGATTTTTTCGAATAGCAGGCCTAGGGATAAAATGAAAGTCTTGCTGGAAAGTAGAAAGCTTCAAATTCTGGCACTGTTTTTCTTTTTACGAAAGGCCCTGTATGAAGCTTGCCATGGCTGTTCAAAGCGTAAGGACTATAAATGACTTCCAATGATCACGACCGGATCACAACGGAGAAAATTTCTTCAAAAGGATTTTTTTTGAAATCGCTCAAACTCAGGTAACAAGTGCCAACCTAGTGCTCCACAGTTCCTGCTTTCCCCTCTCCAAAAGCTCTACTCTCAAAGAAGTTATGGGTGTTCAAGTGAGGGGTACTTTTCGAGTGTTTGGCTTGAAACTGGCTCCGGGTCGTGAAATAGCTCGCTCCAAACTGCATAAAGCGCGCTCACCTTTGAATGACCGCGAACAATAAATATTCTTGTGCTTCCATGATCGACTTTCAATGAATCTTGGCATCGTGTGAGGTCCTTCTGATTAGATTTTGTAACCACAGCCAAGATATTAACAACTTTTATTTGGCTTACGTTTCGGCCTTGTCGCCTTCGTCGGAGCCTGGAAAGTCAAAGATAAGGTGACCTACCGCCGAATGCCATTTCAAACTTGAGAACAGCTCTCCATAGAACAGAGGCGTCTGGGGAGGTCTCGTAGCTCAACCAAGCACAAAACAACTAACCTTATGAGAGCACCGGCTGACTCACTGTGGACGGCTTCAGCTGACCCAGCCCTCGACCTAAAGCCGATGGCGATTGAAGCCCACACAGGTCAGCGAAGGGGGCGAGCTCACTTGTTATGGCTAGGCATTCATCTTTCCTGTTCAACTTGGGGTTTTTGGCGCGTATCCAGAAGGCCTCCAAAAGTTTTGCGGGCCGACGTGCTGAGGCTGCTCGTCCGCGACAAGATTACCCGAATAGGAGCTTGGAACTAGCCGCCTCCGTGTGCGTTCAGCACTCTGTGTCCCACACCATGAGGGGTCTGAGCCTCGATTTCTCCATACCGTCCAGATGTTCCTTCACCCTGGAGCAAAGTGGCCGCCCAGTTTCGCCGATGTATTCGGCCCCACAGAGGATGCATGAGATCAGGTAGATCACACCTGATGCCATGCTGCTGCGCCATGTGGGCAGATAACACAGACAGGCAGACCATTATCTTGTTGCTTATCCTGCAAAATTTTCCTGCACTTTCTTTTATTTCCTTGTGTCTTTTGATGCTCATTTATAATTTATTACTTTTCTTAATTATTTATGATTTATTATGACTCATTTCCATCGTGTTCTCATTTTTATCCCTGATTAACGTCGCGACATTTTTGACTCGTTTATTTTGCAGGTCTTTCATTTTTCGGTAATTGTTTGTCCGTGGCTAATCTGGTAGCAGCAGACCACTCTGAAAAGGGTCTCGATACGACCCCCCCCTTGTCCGCTGCTGATCTGGTCCGCTGCTACCAGATTAGCAACGGAACAAGGGGGGGGGGTGGTCGTATGGAGACCCCTTTCAGAGGGTGGGGTCGAATTTGGCCGAAATTATCATAAGGCGAAGGCATACCCTGATGATAACATGACGATGGGAAGTAGCGAAAATGCAAAATGCCCCTCTCAAAGCAATCTGCGCAAAAACATGCTTTCATAATTCTAGGGAGGCCGCATCAATGCTTGAGCAAGAGAAGGAGCAGATTTTGGACATGTTGAACAGCGTTAGCCTGAACACTGAGTTGCTACGGCTTGGACAAGGTAAGCTCCTATGGTTCCCTTCGAACATCTGGCATTTTCGGTTCCAGTGGGAAGGGTTGTACTGGGAAACTGTTAGTGCTAGGCAACAATTTTTCTTTCCAATCGTCATCAGTTTGGAAAAAGAATGAAATTTTCAGGTGATCGTGAGGATATTACTGCAATCACCAATCGTCTCGCCGCCAGAACGAAGACCGTTGATGTGAGTTCCCATATGCCCACTTCTACTGCGCGCTCTGTACAGACACTGGGACGTGTGAGCGAGGGGGCGGGTCTGACGCGTTTAACCCGTTCCCCAGCAACTGTCGAAGCGAACGAGCTTCAATAATTGGTGGAAAATGGGCTGGCGTTCTTCAGAACTCACCCTCCCCTCACACCCCAACATCCGCGGCGAACAAGATTATATCTTATCTATTCAGGTGTCTGTAAATACCCCACGCAGTACCGAACAGGAACGTGCCTTATCATCTGTGAACAACCTCATTGAAGGAGTCGTCGAGAAAATGCAAGAAGACATGCAGGCTGGAAAAGAGGTTAGTATGACAATCTTAAGGTGCACGGCTATGGGCAAGTTGGAGGGGTAGTACTGTATCCGCCCATGCAATCAGCTTGGGCTTCCTTCAGTCGCACTTCTTCAAATTGGACGAACCTCCTGTATTTAGATTATAACTCGCATAGTTTGTAGGTAAACTCACCCATGCAGTACTCAGCTTGAAATTAAAAAAGTCATTTTCGAATTTCCTGCACAGTGGTAGTCCACCGTAACCCAATAAACTAAGCAATTTTGCAATTGTATGAAGCCGAAGCTTTCTATTGTACATATTTTCCACGTTGGCACATTGAGAGCTTATTGACTTTTTTCAATTCAGACTTGTCGCCGTTATCTGAATGCATGTAATCCCGACCAACCGGACGGCCCAATCGATCAGAGATTCCAAGCACAGGTGGTTCTTCTAGATATTTCAGTGCTATCGTTGATGAGGCAGCTCAACCCCCTCTTATCAGGTCTTTCTAAAAACTGGTTTTCCGATTTTCAAGAGCATGTTGCATCTTGAAGGCCAAATTCAAGCGGAATAGGCTCTTGAAAGGAACCAAATAATGGCCTCTCCAGCTCGCTGACTACATCTGGGTCTTGGCTAGGAGCTCACGCTGTACAGTCGACACATGGTAGCTAGTGCACTCCATAGGAGGGCGTGGCCCCGTACATCATTTAACCGTTGTGGCGGCTGCGTTTCTGATGGAATGTTGTTGTTCCCTTAGCACAAGACAGGATTACAGTAGTCTCAAACGAAAACGTTCCGCGAAAAACGCATTTCCCATAAGGTTTGCCACGTACTTTCCTTTCTCTGGATTACAGAGTGTATTTCCCGGCTAATCATTTGAGATACTGTGGCATTCCCATACTATGTAAGTCAGTTAGGTCCTGGTGCGAATGACGAGCGACACAGCTTTCAATGCTTGTCTCCTGACTAACATTATGTCTTGGTTTACCCCCACCCGACTCGTTCATACAGCGGGTCCATCCCGACCACAGCATCATTGGTTTTTTGATTGATTGATTTTTGTAGAGAATCCCGTCATGGGGGTAGTGCTTGGTCGCTGGGGAGTGGGGCGGTATCTGGTCGGTGGGGGTCGTAATGCCCTTTAGGAAAAATTCCGAGCCCTTTTTCTCAGTTGACGGTAGATTTTTGTAAAAAATTGGGAAGCATTGGAAAATCTTCAAAAGCAGTAAAATTGGGAAAAGTCAAGAAGATATAGAGGGTTGAGGAAAAAGAGGGTCGCAAAGGAGGAAGAAACTGTAAAAGAGGGGAGTGGGTGGTCGTCTAACACCACTATCTCTTCCTAGATGCTGTAGTGTGATCTCGACCCTCCCCATCTCGAGCACGAACATCCTTGGTCTTCCCCCAACCCATCTTGCTCACGAGCACGTACTATGCCTTTATTTGACAAAATTGCCATTCAATAATTGTTTGCTGTTTTCAGCTTATTGAATGTACCGCCGATGACCAGAAGAAGATTCGCAGAAAACTCGGCCAGATCATTGCTCAATTTGAACGCGCTGAACGTACTTTCACACCACATTGGTAGACGACTGGTAAGTTTTTATATGGCTTGGAACTGTTGCTCCACATCAAGAATATCCCGAAATGAAGACTTGTCGGCGCTGTTTGTCGACGGGGGGCATTTTGTACTACCATTGCTTCCCTAGTTCCGGTTTACAAATCTCACTCTGGTAAAACTTGTGAACGCTTGTGAAGCTGGAGCAAGATCGTCTAGCCACCATCCTAAAACGTGTCAACTCGAGAAAAGGCTACCTAGATGGGTCGGCACATCTATGGAAAGCAGAATGCCCCCCCCGTCGACAAACTGCGCCACGCCAGGTTTGTCCCACTCTTTTTAAAAACCCTGAAGAGCGGAAGGTCTCTTATCGGCTCTTATCCCAGCAGGGCACGTATTGCCGTTAGGGAGAAAAAAATTGCAAAATACGAACCTGCTTCAGGATTTTTTTCTTCTACGACCCTTTCTACCCTGTCCCGAATCCAACGTGTCATCTTCTCGAATTTTCCCCGTTTTTTACCATTTCTACATCCTTTTCCCCGATTCCTCCACTTTTTCCACAAAAAACCACCAACATAATGCACCAGAATATTAATAATAAAAACAACAAATGTACGATATTTTTATATACCTACTTTAGATAATCGCCACTTTGGAGTGCCTCGTACAGCTCCCTCAGATCACCAAATTTTCAACTAGAACTATACAGAACTATTCTTCGTCTGTTGTACATTTTTCGTTGGAATTCATAATAGGTTTTGACTTTTGAATGTTTTTGTTCTGAAATCCTCTTCATTCTATTCCATCAGTATTTTATTTTGAAGATTTTGGAAATTAATGAAAAAAGTTGTGACGTCCATATGTCTCCTGGGTATGCAGTTTTCATCGTTCAAGCTAGCATATTTGTGTGTCCGAAGGTCTTCGTTCTTTCGTTGTAACTTTTTATGTAAATAAACATAATGACTCATTTTGACATCTTAGGAATATTTCCCTTAAAAGCAAGACCCGCGATCATTTGCCATCATCATAGATAGTGGGTTGGAGGCTCGCATGTACAAGACAAGGTGATGAGTCGCTCGATAATAAAGAAAAGGCAGAAAAAACATGCACTGCCTCAGATCAAACCCCATTCCGCTCCTAGTTTGTACCTGCCCAATTAATTCATCTCCAACATAACACCCTTATCCGCACGGCTGATTCCCCGATAAGAACTCTAGGACCATACAAGTTGAGATTTTCTTGCTTTTTGCCATCTTCGCTTTTCACTGAAAGACGGGCCTTGAGGGCGGAGTCTGGAGGCGGAGTCACTGGAGAAAAGGAGGCGTCACTGAACCTATATTGCGCTATAGCGCCCCTCCTTACAATTTTTTTTGATGCGAAACCGGTACAAGGTTGTTCGTCACGAACCACTACCCTCCCGACCCATATATTCAACTTCCATATCTGATCGCGGACCGCGTCTTTAAGAGTGTGGAGTGTCTTTACTATCTGCTGTTGGAATATTTCCAAAACACTTTTTTAACAAATAGCACTTTTACTTACGAGGCTGTTGTTATAAAATACAGCACCCGCGATCAACAAGAAACTCATCAGCGAACAAGTTGGCAGAGTCTACAACCACAGAGCAAGTCTCGCTACTCGCAAGCGCCGAAAAGCGCGATGACTCCACGTTGATGAGCTAGCTCCGCCCTCGTAGTTTAGTTCCACCTCGAACATTTTTTTTGTTATCGAGGTCTTCAGCGTTGGCAACAGTAAGGATAGAGACTCCCAAAATTCACGAAACTCGTCAGTTGTATTCCCCACATGGGGTCTTGAGAGCTTTTGCGTCACTTCTTTTTTTCTTCATTTTTCTACTTAGCACCTAATCTAATAATTCTGGGCCCGACAAAATGCGAAAGTTGATCGCGAGCACTGCCTTTGAATGAGATAGCTGCTATCAAAGCGGACCTCGAGTAGTGAGAGGAAGAAATAAGCTACACTCTAGTTCGCTGCGGACGGTTGGGCGTGTCAGGCAGTATGAGTGTGTCACCCCGTCAAAGCCGTTCTCTGCCTTCTTGTTGAAGCGCGCATGCGACAAAAAGTGGTAGAAAACGAGTAATACGAACGATATGATACAGTCATATCACTTGCTCGCTTCAACAACTGGTGGAGAACGGGTTTGGCACCGCGCCAAACTCATCCCGCCTGACACGCCCAACCGTCCGCAGCGAACTACACTATAGGCTCATGCATATCGCGAGCTTTTAAAGAAGCAAAGCGCGATAACAGCAGCCATAAGTTGCAGAAGAGGCTGAAGGACTTCCTTACAGCACTATCGTCATTCCCTCCACTGTTGCGACTCGTCCCTGTGAGGCTGTCTTCCCGCCCATCTGACTGGCACAACGGGGTGGCAGAGCGGCCACCCCTTCATGAACAAGCGGTGCTTTCCTCCTGTATTTTTAGGCCGCGAAAATGGTACATACTCCATCCTTATACGAAGGATTACGATACTCAAAGGATCGTAGGAACATTGAATGAAAGCGGGCTCTG